TGGGCATATCATATTAAACTCATCTGTTTGATTCTGGAGAAAGGACATGCCAAAGCAAGGGCTGATTGGAATACTGGCTTTAATCTGTGCATTTGGGTAATGGAGAGCTGATATTTGAATGGGAAATGTCTCCGACAGGATTTTTTTTTGTGCGCAGGCTGCCTTTTGTTAAAATAGCAAGTTTCTCTATGGAATGTTGGAGCTGAGCTACAGCAACTGTTAAAAAATCTGCCTTCAGTAAACATAATGGATGATTTCTCTTCAAAGGAGCTCTTATCATCTCTTCCCATTTCCCAGAGGCTGCCACAAAGCTGCCTCTCTTTTTTTTTCTTTTTTTTTTTTTTCCTGCTGCTGCTGCTCATCCTTCTCTCCTGCCTGCTCTCTGGAGGGCAGCTTCAATCTAATACAACTGTGTCAGGAAGTGTGGGGATGCAAAGTGCTGATGAGCCGAAAGTAGCCCACCTCTGCAGTGTGCTGCTTCGTCCCAACACGCGCCAGCCTGATTAGGAAAGTACACTATGAACCTGTGCTCACATCCCTGTGCAGCCTTATGGCACATGCCCTATAGAAACAGATTAAATATGTTTCTTTTGTTGTTCCATTTTGAGACATAATGTTATAATTTACTACATGTAAAAGGGATTAAGCCTACTGATGTTATCATTTTGTCAGCCACCAAAACATCTTGAATTTTTAATTTTTTTTAATGCTAAAAGAGACTAATTTTTCTTCTAAACCTTGCTTCAATAGATATGTATATATTTAGTGCTGGATTGTCATAAAAAACACAGCATATATGCTGTTGTGGCATATTTTTTAGATATAAATTCAGTTATAATTGATTGTTGCTGCCTCAGTTCAGCCCTCAAAGTAACATCATTTCCTTTATTCTTAAAAGCTATGCACATATTTTCTTTACATTGAATGTATATGAGGCTTAAAAACAAGTCTGTTTAAACTCAAACCAAACATGCAAAATTGTCAGCATTGTCAGTACTGTTGGGAGCAATATGGTTAGCCTGGAACATTGTGCACACCTTGCTGTGACCTTAACTGTGCTGAATGAAAACAAGCTATGGCTCAGTAACGAAAATAGAATAACATAGAATAAAAATGAAAACAGTTTAGAGTGTAGACAAAGCAGAATTGGACCTGATTTGACTGAAACTATGAATTGTCTTGTGAATGTACATACTGTATTGCAGCAGTCTCAGCCCCAGCTTCCCTACCTTCCTTTAAATTATTAACATTTTCAAGTTATCCAGGATGTTCGATTCAGTTTCTCTGGATATAGTATCATGGCTTACTGCTTTAGACAGCTAGTGGAAACCCTATAATTAAACTGAGCCCTCCACACTTTGTCAGCATTCTGCAAGCAGATATCTGAGTTTTGCATGACAGCTGATCATTGGCACTGGTCTGAGGGCTCTTGTTTCTTATCTGGCAATAAACGTGCTGAAATCCCCTCTTGCAACAGTATGTAACCTGCAGAACCGCATAAATATTATGTCTCCCTAGGAACACAATAGTCGTATTTATTCCTTTATTTTGGGGCTGTTTTTTCCATGTCAAATGCCGAGAGGAAGGTTTCTAACTCTTGCAGGAGCGGATTGCAACATGTTTCAGGACTCTGGTGAATAGATTAAAGGCTGGCGAGCTCAAGCTTTTGTTGAGCCGCGCTTTCATACTCAAACACATGCACAGGCACAAAACCTTCGAACACTTTCAAACCTATACCCTTGAAGCACGCATGGCTCTGAGGGCTGCGCCACTGGTCTGACAGATGGTACCAGGAGGCCTGGTGTTTCGCCCCTGTTATGGCTCACCCGGAGCCCCATCCACAGTGCTCAGCATCACCACACTGCTCACCATGACACACAAGCTACCAGCCTCCCAGCTCCCAGGAATAGATAGCCCCTGTTGACGGGGCCAAGGTCAGGTTCCTCACTGCCACAGTCAAAGGGCATCAGTAAGCAGCATTGAAAATAATTAATAATTTTCTGACCAATTTTTGTCCACTAGTTGGTCAAGTGAAGTACAGTTACACCTTGTTAAAATCCATGAAACATTGTGGGTATTGTTTCCTTTTTGTTTATTGTAGCTGCAAGAACTTCTGGTAAAAACAAATTATTTTGTCAGCCTTGGTTTTGTATTAGTAAAATCCCTAAACGATCACTCTGCTCACTACTAACATAGACGTTGGCGGTGCGTAAATTACATTTGCCACTTACGCTTTCATCTCTAAGATGATCGGTATATAATACATATGTTTGAGCCTCTCATGCTGCAGGAGTCACTTTCAAAGTGATTCAGAGCTTCTAAGCTCATTAAATGTTAATCAAAAAATCTATTTTCAGATCACTTGGAGATCTGTCATGAGGATTTCAGGCCAGCTAGGAGGCCAATACTTCTGAGCGCTGAGTGAACAGGATGATACTTTATTTGTTGGAAATGTAAAAAAAAAAAAAAACCAAAGCGTTTTTTTTTTTTTTAATTAAAAAAAAAAAAAACCAAAGCGTTTTTTTTTTTTTTAATTAAAAAAAAAAAAAACCAAAGCGTTTTTTTTTTTTTTAATTAAAAAAAAAAAAAAACGCTTGGATATTTGTTATTTTATGCAAATGAAGATAATATGAGGATGCACGAGTGAAAATCATCAAAATCTCAACTGCAAAATGTCTTGAGAAGCTTCTGCTTTCAGTTGTGAACTAAGAACTACTCTTGAACATAGTCCATTTTTAAATGGCACAGAGGCAGTAGTGAGGCAACCCTGTCTGACAGTGGCTTTTTGCAACACATCCACAGTCCTCTCCATTATTCATGATATGTTTTCTCAGACAGTGCCTTGAACCATGAGGAGTACTCCTGTCTGTCTTCTCCAGAAAGAGCCCTCTGAAATGAGAAAGTGGGCATGAGCTGCGCACACTAGAAGGCCTGTTTTAATCTGTTTTTTGGACAAAAACGGATGTCCAAGGGTATTTGTAGAGGCTCAACGTTTAATAGATTGGATCTCAGTGAAGATGGCAAAAGGGCGGTGGTAAATGAGACATACTGTAGATGAACTTATGGACGATTTCCAAGTTAAAACCGTATGTCTCTGTGATTTTCTGTATTAACTTGGCATCATCCAACCAGGCAGTCATTACATCAGCGGAAAAGATTTCTTTCTCTGTAGTTTCTGTTCAACTGACTTAAGTTTCAGATGGCAGGGTGTCTGTAAGTGTACCATCAACCGGTGTTTTGGAAGTGTATTCTGCCTACAGCTGCAGTACTACACAGTGACAACATATTGTTGGCCAAAATTTACTTTGACATTAGTCTCCGGTACCCAAGCTCTCCTTTTGTCCGTGAGTTGTTCTTCTACTGTCACACTGGTCGTTATCATAGAGCTCATGCAAGTTTCAAATGTCTGCTAGTTGATTTACCTACTGTGCTAAAATAAACCGAATGGAAATGAATCTGTCTATTTGCAGTCATGCTTTGGAAAACGGTCTGCACTAGTTGTTAAGTATAACAGCTTGTACTTTCTAAGCTAAATGCAAACCCACTAGTATAATCATCTGGACATAATAGATAATTTCAGTATCCCTCTCCTTCTTAGCACAACACCATCGACATAATCATCATCATCCATCCGCTTATTAGCTAGAATATAGCAGGCTTGGTGAGTCACAGAGATATTTGTGCCTTGATTAACATGTGAGGATATAGCTCTGAACAATTGTTAAGCGCATTAGCACAAGTAATACAGACATGAACAGAGTAGAAATGTAGTGAACTACAGGATTCACTCCAAACCCTCAGGCTATGAATCATCTTAATGCAATGTGTGCCAGCAGGTGGAAATGACTCAAATTTGTTCCCACAGTGAAATATGCAACACACTGATACTCCTCTCCTCTGATCAGGTTGGTGTATAATCAGAGCCATTTTGTTTCCATGCAGGCACCACATTAAGAGATGGTCAGATAATCAGTCATTTTTATGTGTATACAACACTGTGCCTGAGACTGCCACTGCATAGACAATTTCTCTCTCAGTGAGTTGACTGAAAAGCTCACATGAAGAAAGAAACTGCATTATTTTATTGACTTGACAATGATAGCTATACCTGAAAATATAAATAATCCAGGTTTTGCTGTGTTAACATGAGCTTTTTGGTTAGGGTTTTTAATGCTTCAGTTTTATGTGGTGATACTGAGTGGTTAGAGTTGTGAGTCATGGCTATGTGCTTAGTACCTTAAATGAAGACATGGGGATAGGACAAAAGGAAGTCGGATATCTGCACCAGCATGTTAAACAGAATCTAAGCCACAAAGGAGAAACTCTGCTATCTAACGAAGCACAATGGGCGAAAATATAATGTATGCAAATGAGGGAAACAGACAAAGGCCCTATTCTTCTCTCTGAGGTCTGTCGACTGTATCAGATTCCTAACTATCTTCTCAGCCCATCCACTGCGCTCAAACTACATAATATAAAAACAATTTTCTAAGTGCTACAGCAGCGTTTCCTTCATTTCGGTATTGCACTGCAAGTGGTTAAATGAAATTATATATTTTAAGCTGTCTTATCCGAATGTATCTGCATGTTTCTTTTTTCAAACTGATGTGACAGGGTGACTTGAACAAGAATAAAGGATTTGAGATCATCACTGTTGTAAAATCAAAACTTGTTCTACTGAATGAAAACACTGTCTATTAATAAAGGTAATCTTCCTAAATTCACAAGTTGGTGCAGAATCTATAGGCCTTGGAGCAAATTGTGAAATTTCATTAATTTACATGGTGATACTTTGAGCTGGATGTAGGATTGAATGCATCCAGATCAGAACTATCGCCAAGATTTACATTGGCTCACAAGACAGCTTTGTAATAATTAACATCTTGTTATGAGACTGTCTAAACCCAGTAAACAATAAATTAATGAACTGAAGGTGAGGTGAAGGCTTTTCTCTCTGTTTCTTAATTGATTCTAAAATTCAGTTCTGTTGTCTTTTGCAGCTTCAAGGATCTTTGCGAAGGAAGATCGAGGGACATGCACCAGGACACATACCAAAGCAGAATGGGCTCTCCTGTGGTTTCTCTGGATCAGACTTTAAGAGGGTCCGTGTGGATACTGGTGGTCTGGGACATGGGCCTTGCAACCATAACCTCACCCAGTCTCACTCTCTTCAAGGGTCCTCAAGCATGGGCATGCAGCGGAAGAATTACATGATGCCCCATGGAGTGGGGTCAGACATATTCAACATGACCCTGAAAGAAATGAAAAAAGAGCCCATGGAGGTCCAGTCTTGTGGCCAGCCAAACACAGAGATGATTTTTGACTTTAAAGATGAAGGTGGGGGTCAGATTGACCCAGATCTCCAGGATCTGTTTGATGAGCTGACAAAGACAGTGCCCCCACTGAATGACCTGGAGTTTGAGAAGATACTGAAGCAGGATGATACATTCGGTTTGGATCTAGGTCGGCCAAACTCAGCAGGCGCAGCTGCGAGTCTGTGTTCCCCGATGGAGAAGCCGATCAAGACGGAGCACTCCCCTGATTTTGGCCAGGTTCACGGTGGCTCGCCACAGCTTCGGCCAGCCTCAGCAGGGCCCTCTTTCACATTGACCAGCACCTCTTCTACCACCACGTCACAGAAAGCTAACACTCAGGCAGGACACCCCAGAGCTATGCCCTGCTGGCCAGAAATATCTCACGCAGAGCAGCTGAAGCAGATGGCAGCAAACCAGCAGCAGCCGAGCTCTCTGCTCCATCACCACCACCAACCACCACCTGTGGGATTGACCAGCTGGGCTCCCGCTATGAGCACCCACTCCTCCACCAGCACCTTCCCCCAGGACAAGGTCTCCAGTTCAGCCCCGCTTAGCCAGCAGAGGATCAGCGCCCAGAGTAAAGGGATCAACAACTGCCTCTTCAAGTCAAACGGCCACAGTGGCTCCCATCATTTGGACATGAAGGTTCTCAGCACCAAGCCCACGTTGCACTTCAGCCCCAAAGCGCCCCATTCTGCCAGTCAGCCGATGCCTATCATGGCAAGCTCAGTGAACAAGAGTGCAGCCCAGCAGCAACAGTCCCCTTCGACGGGCCAGAATCAGCCACATTCAGCTCTCCATTTCCAGAACCAACAGATCTCCACGTCAGGAGGACTTTGTCTGCAACCCAAGTCTGTTCCTGCTGGCCTGCCGTTCAAGCTGTCACAACAGCGACAGGTGAGGGTTCTGCTCAAAATTCTTTCACACGTTATGAGGTGAAAACCTTGACTCTCCAAATCTTTTACAAATTAAAACAAAATGACCTTGTGCTTAGTTTAATGACTGAGCAATTTTGATCACGGTCTATTTTTCTTTTACATGCAACTATAGAGGAGTGTGGAATCAGAGTTCACTGTAAACATTAAAATCACCTTATAACACCAAAAAACCAACTAGGGTCTTCATGAGATAATTATATTTATGTATGTATAGGCTAATTATGTGTATATACATATGTACTGTATATACACACACATACATACATTCACACAAAAACATGTGCTTGTACTATCATATGTAATAACATACACACAACACACTTAACGCCATGAAATTATGAAGTATGTGTTTTAATTAATGGCAATAACCATGACTTAAATGTAAATATGGCTAATTACAACCAGTGTATGAAGCCGAGGGTACATTTTCTGTTAGTTTATCCAAATGTTTTATTTTTTTTTTATTTTGTAGCAGATGGTGAATAATTGGCTTGTGTCTTTTATAGCACTGTATATAGGAAATAGATAATAGCATAGGTTGTCAAAGTAAAGTAACATGATACACAGCACAGTCAAACTCACTCACTTTAGTCTTCCTCATCAGTCGGTTTCCTCACTTTGCTTGCAGCAGCCAACCTGCTGTCTGGAACAGCAACAATGCAACGCTGTTTGTTTTGGGACTTTCTTGTCATTGTTCTAGCTGCTGTCTGTGTCTTTGCTGTTGAATATGTATTTCCCCTGAAAGTGTTTTGACGATGACACAGATTGCCAGAGCATGGTAGATTAACATGCAGGACTTCTAATTTCTCTGCTTGTCATGGTGGCTCCCCGTCAGGGCACAGATATGCACAGCGGGATTTGCTAATTGGAGGTTGTTAGCTACAAGGGACAAGTGGTGGAAAATGACAGTAATCTGCTTAGCCTGGTGCCGGAGGTTGAATCACTGATTTGTTATGATTGGGGAGATTTAGACCGTCCCCTCTTTCATTTTTGCACTAACAGTATCTGTAGCTGTCTTTGTGTGAAATGATAATGCAAGCCGCACAAGAGAGCACTCGTAACCTCTACAGATCAAGGGAAGTGCTTGAGTGACTGGGAAAGGGTGGGAGGAGGGAGGGAGAGAGGGAGGGAATTGTACAGACATGGAAGTAAACAAGATAGGATGACAAACACATCATCGGGCATGGGTGTAACAGAACCAGTTTTACCACTATACCAGAGAGCCATTTACACTCTAAACAGAACATGTGGTTGTGCACATTCATTTTTAGATACCTTTTGAAGTCACAGTAAAATACTGTCATGATCGCCAGCTTTCTATTAATGTGTGAGGCAGAAATAGATTTTAAAAATCTTTAAAATTGGTGAATGATCTGAAATCAGGAACAAACATTTCTCAGGGCTCCAAATGACCACATTTCACACCATCTCAAATATTTTTTATATAAACATTTACATTTTTTTTAATCAAAAGTAAAATTACTGGTTATGTCAGAATTTGCATTAGTATTAGTGTTACTATTAGCATTAGTGATAATGAATAATAATAATAATTCTGTGGTTCTAAACATAATGTAGCACATTAAAAACTATAAAATTATAAGCAGTAAAAATCTGGTACATAATTAAAAATAATAGTATTGAAAGGGCAAGGGAAGAGACTTTGAGAGGCCGAATATCAAATAATGAAAAAGCCTTCAATGGATTTTGATAAATTATTAAAAAAGCAAACTTTTCCAAAGCCCAGATCTCCTGAAAGTAAAAGCTCAGTCACCTCTAGTCTTTAAAATGCTGAGGACATGAAGCTGTGTTCAAGTTCAGAAGGGGTAAAGATTTGGTGAGATAACTTTCCCAAGGACATTGCGCTTTAATGTGCTGTAAGTTTGAGCAAATAAAATATGCAAGCATAAAGCTCGGGTTATGATAGTGTAGGAATTGCGGGGAAGAAATAAAAGCCACCTTACAGTTTTAGAACAAGTGCTTAAAAAGGCTGATAATGGTGTTTGCCTTTTGTAGTCAGCATGGACAGGGTTAAAAGTCTAACTAATGAGGAAGGGACAGCTCACAGAGAGGAGGAAAAAGAGTGGAGTCTCTTCCCACAGTGACTTGAATTAGTAATGCCAGAAAAATAAAGGTCCTGAAAGAGTTCCCTGATCCCCTGTGTAACACCAGCGACTAGCAGCGGGCTTCCTCCCACTGAGTGAAGCTGAAGACCTTTTTAAAACAGCCAGAGATGCGAGCTTTGGTGCTTGTTTGAAGCTTCATGAAGTTTAATAATCAGTTGCAGAGTCAAATGTGTCAAAATTCAAATGCACCGCTCTGTAATTCTCTAAGTGCGAGGTCACACACACACAAAAAAAAAGTAGAATTACATTCTCGTGCAGCATACTGTACACTAGAGGACACTAATGCATTATGGAGCCTGAGTTACTGTGGTTGGTGGGCAGTGCTACTTCAAGGACATGGTTTTGTGCTGCTGGTCACATCAGTAGTGTAGCCTGCCTATGTTGTGCATTTAAGCTAAATAAAGAGAAAAAAAAATCAGAAAAATACAGACACTCCTGATGTATTACAGGTCGTCGTTATTTATGATGTCTGAAATAAAAATTGATTCCTAATTTCTGCTGAATTTTCAGCGGAAAGCATAAAAAATCTGTATGGAATTTTCTGGAAACTAAATGCCATAGACGGCAATCCATGCAGGTGCAGAGTGGGCAACTTCAAGGAAATACAGAGGTTGTTTTTTTAGCTATTCACACATCTTTTAAGTGAATGTAGAAAACAATTATTTTTTTAATTTTTTAAATTTAGTTCTATAATTTAAACAAATTAAACAAAAACAGTTCAACTTTTTGTATATTTGACTTTCAGTCTCCATGTAGTGAATGTGCATATTTTTAATTATATCTAAACATTTACATTTACATTTGGCAAGAGTGACTCAGCCTAAGACAACACCTTTAGAACAAGTGAAGACAGGCATTTAGCAGTAGTTTCATCACCTCAGTGATTAGCTTCAGCTAATATAGATTTTCATTTAAACACTACACAAGGGCTTATAATTCTGAAGAATAAAGTAGACTTTGTTCTAAAAAATCAGAAACCCAAATTATAACTGCAACTAAAGATAAAGGTTTTCCTGCAGTAAATAACGACTCCTCAACTTTTGTTGATGCTCTTGTGGCACCACATCCCTCAGTTAGGAGAAGAGCTGGGCCACGGGGGTTGAGCCTACCAGGTCACTCCGGCAGTGCTGTGAAGGGAGTACTTGTTTCCTGGGAAAGGGAGCTGCGGCCAAGTCCAGATGCCGAGGCGCTCCCCAGGGACAGCGTCCCGAGTCCAGACTGGAGGAAGTGCAGTGTGAGAGCCGGCAAGGCTGGGCCTGGATCACTGTCAGCTGCCTGCACTGCCGCAGGATGGGAGACTAAATCACTCTGCTCCTTCTCTGAGGCCCGAGCCACATGTGGTATTCATTTACAACAAGCTTGTGAAGAATGAGAGGGGGAAAAAACATGGAAAACAGCTTTATGACACATCAGGGTGACAGAGAGGATTACTCAGTTGTACATGCTAAAACACCCCTCAATGGGTTTGTCTTACAATAAAGATGCAACGAGCCCACTCCAGGGTACCTCTGTGGGGAAAATATCTGTGATGGCCACAGTTTCTCACAGTCTTGCTAACTGGATACAGTGAATCAAAGCCAGTGACTCTGCTTTCTAGAGTAACAGAAACCGCTGTTTTGATGTTTTAGTCCCTGTGTAACCTCATTGCCATGCTTGGTTTGCTGTGTGGGTTGAACTCAGGCAGAGAAGGCGAATATTAGCTCATGTGAAATGGCTTGTGACTCCTGATGAGTTTCAACTTCCCTCATTCTCTAATCCGGTCTCGTTAGTTCTCCATATTTCAGCCCCATTCATTATCATTCTCTCTCACACACACACACACACACACACACACACACACACACACACACACACACACACACACACACACACACACACACACAGACACAGACACACACATATATATGCGCACACACACTAACTTCCCTCTCTTTTCTTTCTGTTTTTCTTTTGGGACCACAAAGTCACCACCCTGTAGAGATTCGTCCTCTGTGAAGAATCTGTCCTCTAAGTAATAGCTTCTGCTAAATGCACTGTTGGATTTAATCCATTTCACCCTGGGAAATATTTTAAGTCAACACAATGACTGACACTGTATACACAGCGCGTGTTGACTTGGATTTGGTGCACATTAACCTCTTTCATGACAAATGCTTGCACTTTGTAGAAGCTCGGGCATAGTGAGAGTGTCCTTGTGTCCACAAGTAAGACAGGTTTTACTTGGAGTGCTTAGATGGCCCGGACAGCTGCCTAAAAAAGCCAAAGAGATATGAATTACAAGGACGTATAACATCTCAAGCACCCATGATGGTGAAAGCTTGTCCGCAAAAGCATACATTCAGGACAAGATTTCAAATAAAAAGCTAGTTTGGATGTCTCAATTTCATTTGAGTGCTGCCGACTACAATGTTTTAATCAGTATGATAGTGTCAGGAGCCAAATGGGTTTCTAGAGGATGGAATGCCGCCTTGCCAAACACAACACAGTGATCAGTAAAGGAGAGCTTATTAAATGGAGGTAGTCATGGTGCTGGCGCTTAACTCCCCATCGGCACACATTTCCTGCTGTCTCAGGGATTCTTTCCACTCTCTTTAGACACAATTATCAAGGGAGAAGCAGGCCTTGAGGAGGGCTCACACTCCCCCCTCCAAAAAAAAAAATCCTCTCTCCAAGTCTTCCTTTTTCATCTGCAGAGGGAGTAGCCTTGACCACATTCTGGAGGTTGAATAGCATCTTTGACACAGATCTATGCCTTGTAGAATTTTGCCCTCTAGTGGTCAACTGTTATTATTGCACTGTTTTGGTTCTGTGTTTTCCGACAACAGCTTTCACAGCACTTAGCTCCCATCTCAAGGCACTTAGCAGAGAAGAGGTAAAAAGACGTATTTAAAAATTAAAAAGTACCACCACTGACACTAATTTAAAACCATCATGTGTGTCTTCTTCTCAGGGTGTTCCCCCTGGTCCAAGGCTGCCCACTAATGGAAGCTTAGGAGTCATGTCAGGCCAGTCGCAGCCACGGCCCCCAGCACCCAACAGCCAGCAGAAAGGCCCAGCCAAAACTCAGTCCATGCAGAGACAGCTTAACCAACAACAGCACACCATCAACAATTCAGTAAGCTACAATTACATTTGACTGCTTTGTGAGAGTTTGTTACAAATGATTAATCACATAATTAGTACTCACAACTTTGTCTTTTCTTTGCAGGACAAAGACAATACACATGATCAGTTCAGTCGTCATCTCACGAGACCGCCACCTGATTATAAGCAGTCAAGAAGTATGGTGGGACTTCAGCAAGGAAACATTTTCACGGGTACTGTACATTTGTGATAAGACAGAAATGATTTAACTGCTTACAAGTGAACCATAATTATAATCAGTTTCCCTTGGTATCTCTTTAGGTCAGAACTCCTCTCAGTCTTCCAGCAATGGCCCAGAGAATGACCTACAGTCCATGTCTTGTCACCTCCCAAGTGGGTCTGGTTCAAAGATAAGTCCGTCACCATCAGACCGCCGGTTTGGTATTGGGGCGGACTGTCATCCGAGTCCTTGTATCACCCAGTTCCAGCAGCATAACACTCAGAATAGAATTGGACTAAATCAAAATAAACCTAAATTCCTGGGACCAAACACACAAGGAGGTTCCTTTGGGATGAACAATGTAGCAGGTGTACAACATCCGAGAACGACAGCTGACCTGCATTCCTCAGGGGTGCCAGGACAGGGTCTCGGAGGCTTGATGACAAATGTCAACATGGGCTGGGGCGCAGCCAACAAGCAAGTGACAACTGGACTTGGTGTTAGGCGGCTACCCAACCCACTACAGTCACAGGGTGCGCAGCTGGACATGCCAAACCACCCGTACCAACAGAGGCACATCGGCCCACCAAACCAGGTAGCACCAGACATCGGGATGCTCCCTCTTAACCCATCGATAAGGGACACAGGCCCAAGACCAAGCCAGCCAATGATGGGCTCTCCATCAGCAGTGGGAAACCTTAACCAGGCCTCTCCTGAACAGAGGGTACCAGCGGGCAGCTTTGCTGAGCCCAGTCCCAGTTCTAGTAGCTACCAGAATAACAGAGCCAACCGCCTGACCTTTGACTTCCTGCCCGAGGGAGACAACACAGTTCCCGGGATCAACACAGACTCAGACTTTATAGACTCTCTGCTCAAGTCTGGCTCTGGGAATGATGACTGGATGAAAGACATAAATTTGGACGAGATTCTGGGCAGTCACTCATGAATTTGGGTCACAGATGGCTAAAAAACCGACCCAAAACTCAAATTATAGAGGTTATGTATGTAGGTGGAAGGGATAACATTTGTAAATAATGATAAAATGGAATTTTATAAACTCATAATGTTTGTTATCCAAGTATACTGTATTGTTTTATATTGTATTTACTGTGAAAGGAATTTGTGTTCTGTCCTTAGTACTCAGCATATTTTGTTCCTGGTATATTGTCCAAGAAACTGCTTTTCATTGCAGTCACTGTTATTGTGGTCTGTCTTATTCAAACTGTAGTGCTGTCCTATAGGATAAAATACCAAATTCACACTGTGAAAAGAAAACATTGCTGTGTTGCTTTCAAGTTCATCTTGGCAATCCAAGTTAAGTTCCTAAATCTCCATCTACTATTTAGCATGATATGGTATTTACCTTCAGAAGTTTTGCTACCATGCACACAGAGAATCTTGCCACAACAAATGTTTTCTTACTTATTGTTTAAGCTTTTTGATCTGTGGTAGTTTTTGATGAAATATAAATAATGTAACCATTATTTTTTTTCATGTGATATTTAATAATTATTGGGATAGTAATGAAACATTATAATACATGCAATTAATAAAATTGATTTGAATAAAGTCTTGCTTTTGTTTTCTTTTTCTTTTTTCTTACATACTTTGGTTTGCAATGTAAAGCAAAGACAGAAATAATCCTCTGTGGTTTATATTGTTTTACTATAATCCAGTTAATGTAGTATGATATAATTTTTCTATTCCAGACATATAGGTGATGCTTCCTTACAGTAAGCCCCTCATCTTATGATAGTGAAGTTAAACTTGAACTTTAAAAAAATGAAGAATATACTAAAAGATGTTATTTGAATGCTCATAACTTATATGTATATACACTTATACATGACAACAGGCCCGGGATTCGAAGGCAGAAACTTCTCACTGTGAGAAGACAGTTCTAACCAGTGCACCATCATGCCACTCCATAAAAAAGTCATAGTATAGTAAGGCATAAAAAGTTTTACTATAGTAAGTCATGAAAATCCCATTGAATAATAAGGCATAAAAACAAAAAACGTCATAGTATAGTATTGCAAAAAAACATCATAGTATAAGTAAGGCTTTTACCTTACTTACTTACTGTTTTTTTATTAAAAAATGTAATACTATAGTAAGTGATGAAAACGTCATAGTATAGTGAGGCAAAAAATTTCAAAAAACGTCATAGTATAATAAGGTGAAAAAATTCAATAACCGTCATAGTATAGTAAGGCAAGAAAACGTCATAGTATAGTAAGACAAAAAAAAATTAAAAATTTCATACAATAGTAAAGCATAATAACATCATGTATAGTAAGACATAAAAATGTCAAAAAACATCATAGTATAGTAAGGCAAAAACTGTCAAAAAACGTCATAGTATAGTAAGGCATAAAAACCTAAGGCAAATGGTTACAAAAAATGTCATAGTATAGTAAGGGAAACGGTGTCAAAAAGCATCATATTAAAGTAAGGCACAAAAACGTCAAAAAACGTCATAGTATAGTAAGGCATAAAAACGTCATGGTATAGTAAGGTGAATGGTGTCAAAAAACATTATAGTATAGTAAGGCATAAAAAACCTCAAAAAACGTCGTAGTATAGTAAGGCATAAAAACCTAAGGCAAATGGTTACAAAAAACGTCATAGTATAGTAAGGCAAAAACTGTCAGAAAACGTCATAGTATAGTAAGGCATAAAACCTTAAAAAACGTCATAGTATAGTAAGGCATAAAAACGTCATCTTATAGTAAGGCAAATGGTGTAAAAAAACATTATAGTATAGTAAGGCAAAAAAACATAAAAAATGTCATAGTATAGTAAGGGAAACGGTGTCAAAAAACATCATATTAAATTAAGGCACAAAAACGTCAAAAAACGTCATAGTATAGTAAGGCATAAAAACGTCATGGTATAGTAAGGTGAATGGTGTCAAAAAACATTATAGTATAGTAAGGCATAAAAAACCTCAAAAAACGTCGTAGTATAGTAAGGTATAAAAACCTCAAAAAACATCATGGTATAGTAAGGCATAAAATGTCAGAAAACGTCATAGTATATTAAGGCATTAAAGGTCATAAAAACATCATAATATGGTAAGGAATCAAATGAAATTGTATTGGAAGGCATGAAAATGACAAAAACCGTCATTGTATAGTATGGCATAAAAATGTCAAAAAACGTCATAGTATAGTATAGCAAAAAATATAAAAAAATCATCGTATTATATTAAGGCATAAAAGGTCATAAAAACATCATAG